CAATACAACATCCAATCTATGGCTAAAGATAAAAAAGGTCTACGAATTAGAAGAAAAACTATCCAAGATAAAGTGGAATACTGTAGGACTGTCAGAAGTGAAAAAAAAGGCGAACAATGCATACATCTAAACTCTGAAAATCGCTTATACTATATAGGGAAAATAGACGAAACATATGGTGGAGTAGGATTTCTTGTCAAAAAGTATCTCATACCATACATTTCTACATATAACAGCGTTTCTGATAGAATAGCTTATATTATAATAGACCTAGATAATAAAACCAAGATCAAGGCTATACAAGTGTATGCTTCCACAACAACATATCAGGAAGAGGTAGTTGAAATGTTCTACGAAGATTTGATAACAGCAATAGAAGAAAATAATACAATGTATACCATCATTATGGCAGATTTCAATGCAAAATTGGGTAAAAAGGAAGAAAATACTGAAACCAAAATAGGGATGTATGGTTATGGCACATGAAATGAAAGAGGAGAACAATTATATAACTTCTTAGAACAACAAAATTTATATGCCATGAACACAAACTTCAGGAAACCAGCAAACCGAAAATGGACGTGGATATCTCCCGATAAAAAGACAAAAAACGAAATCGATTACTTCTTGTATGGGAACAAAGACATTTTAGAAGATATAACTGCTTTCAATCGATTTACAACTGGCAGCGATCATCGCCTTGTAAGAGCAAGGATTCTTATTAAACAGTACGAAGACTAGTAGAAACAGTCCACATAATTATTGTAATCAGATAGATCAAACCAAAATAAGCCAGAAGGGAGATTAGTACAGAGAAGTCTTAAGAAAAGAGTTTGTAAAACATTATCAACAAGAATATCCCGACATGAACACAATTAATAAAGAAATTCAACGAAAGCTCTTGAAAGCAGGGCTGACTGTTGCAAAGAAAACGAAAAATAAAGAAGACCGAATAAGTGAAGAAACAAAACGGTTGATGGAAAAGAGAGAAGCAGATCTTCTAAGCGAAGGAAAGCGAAACACAATGGTTTCAAAGATTTGAATAAACAAATAAAGAAGGGAGTAAGGAAGATTTAAGAATCTATAGTGAAAACAATTGAATCTATAGTGAAAACAAAAACATTTTTGAAAATAATTCACAGCAGAATTGTTAAAACTCTTGAATATGAGATTAGTGACACACATTTGGCTTTAGAAATGGTATGAGTACAAGAGATGCTTTGTTCGGCTTGAATGTGTGGCTCAGAGAAGCCATGGACATGAATCAGGATATGTACTTATGTTTTGTAGACTTTGAAAAGGCATTTGATAAAGTTCAACATAAAAAGCTTGTAGATATATTAAAAAGCAAAAATATTGACAGTCGTGATCTGAAAATTATATCTAATTTATATTGGAATCAAACTGCCAAGGTAAGAGTTGACAGCCAGTACACCGAAAATATCAAAATACAGAGAGGAGTCCGCCAGGGTTGCGTGCTGTCCCCACTACTTTTCAATGTCTACAGTGAAGCGGTATTTCAAGAAGCGCTCTCAGACTCAATAGAAGTATATCTATCAATGGAGAAGTTTTAAATAACTTACGTTTTGCAGACGATACAGTAATAATTACGGATAACAACAATGATTTACAGAACGTAATGCAACGCCTTAATGAACGCTGTCATGAGTACGGACTGAAGATAAATTTAAAGAAAACTAAATGCATGATCATGACTAAATCTGCACATGCAAATATCCAATTGACTATTGAAGATACTGCAATTGAGAGTGTTAATAACTATAAATACTTAGGAACATGGATAACATCAGATGTAGATCAAACCAAAGAAATTAAGACACGTATTGAAATAGCACGTACATCATTTATTAAACTTAAAAAGTTTCTTTGTTGTCGGGATATAAGGTTAGAACTACGCCTGAGAATGCTTCGATGTTACGTGTTCTCTACTCTTCTTTATGGTCTGGAAGCTTGGACACTAAAACAAGTTCATCTGAATAAGTTGGCCGCCTTTGAATTTTGGTGTTGCAGAAGAATCCTACGAATATCATGGACTCAAAGAATGTCAAACATGGAAGTAACTACAAGGATAGGAAATGAGGCGGAAATAATATTAACTATTAAAAGACGAAAACTTGAGTACTTGGGACATGTGATGAGAGGGCAAAAATACGCATTTATTACAACTTATTATGCAGGGCAAAATCCGAGGAAAGCGAATGTGGGAAGACGAAGAATATCCTGGCTTAAGAACTTGAGGGAATGGTTTGAATGCAGTAGTGCAGAACTTTTTAGAGCGGCAGTCAACAGAGTCCGCATAGCCATGATGATTTCCAACCTTCGATAGAAGATGGAACTTAAAGAAGAAGAAGAAGTGAAAACAAGGTAGAAAAAATAATAGAAAAGAACAGAGGCCTGAAATGCTTACGATCAAAATTAGGAAAGCCTATAATAATCTCATTGAAGGATAAAGATGGAAAAGAAATAAGAGAAAAGAACAAAATCCTAAAATTTACTCAAACATTTTACCGTGATTATATTCCTGAAACAAGAAGCTAGATAACAATGCAAAGGAAGATCTTAAGAGAAAGATAATGAATGTCAACTCAGAAATACTCCCTAACATAGAATCCTTCGAAATAAAAGAAGCTATGGCACAATTAAAAAACAATAAGGCTCTGGACTCTATGAGGACTTCTACAAGGATGAAATACTTGTAGAAATGTTGAAGGAGGGGAGTGAAATTATTCTCGAAGAATTAAAAATTTTTTCAACGAATGTCTTCACAGAGGGGAAGTCCCAGATGATTGGAATGAAAGTTTGACAATACTTCTCTTCAAAAAGGGAGACAGGGGAGATCTGAAGAACTATAGGCCAATTTTCCTGCTGTCCCAAATGTACAAACTGTTTATGAGAGTAATAACTAACAGGTTAACGTCGAACACATACATAGTATTTACAAGAAAGCTACAATGAAAATACAAATAGATGTGAAAACCAAAGCTATACCAATCAACAGAGGAGTTCGCCAGGAAGATGTTATCTCACTAAAGCTTGGACTGGAAGACGTGTTCAAAGACATTAACTGCAGATAAAGGAATAAATGTTAATGGAAAAAAACTGAGTCATTTAAGATACGCTGATGACATTTTAATATTCGCTATAAGTTTCGAAGAACTACAGACCATGATGACGCAACTATTTCAAGTTTCGGAAAAAGTAGGTATTAAGATGAACTTGGAAAAAACAAAAATAATGACAAATACACCGAATATTAGAGAAATAATGTTGAACGACATAAATTTAGAAAGAATAAGCAAATACATCTACCTGGGACAGATAATGAAAGTTAACAAAGAAAATCAAACTGCCGAAATTACCAGAAGAATAAGATTAGCGTGGGCAGGATTTCAAAAGCTAAGTTGTATCTTGAAACGCACTAAAATGAAACAATATTTGAAAACCAGAATTTACGATCAGTGTATTCTCCCTATACTCACGTATGACTCACAGACGTGGACACTCACCAAGTCTAGCATGGATAAAATAGTAAAAGCACAAAGAGCGATGGAAAGATCAATTCTCAGATCAAAAATCAGACAAATGGATTAGAAGCAAAACGAAAGTAAAAGATGCAGGAGAATATGCTGCCAAATTAAAATGGAGCTTCGCAGGAAACAATGCCCGACTGAACAATAAGAGATTGAACCACGAAATACAACAATGGAGACCATGGTTAGGAAAGAGAAGCAGGGGAAGACCATAAATGAGATGGGCAGATGATATTAAGAAGATCGGAGGACTCAACTGGAAGCAAGTGGCGCAAAATAGAAGACACTGGATTGATTTGGGGGAGGCCTATGTCCAAAGTTGGATTACTTAAGGCTGAAGAAGAACAATCACCCCAATGATAAAATCATACTTTGGCCAGATCTAGCGTCATGCCATTACGCAAGGTGAACGATAGATTGGTTAACTGCTCAAAATATAAATTTTGTTCCCAAGCACGGCAACCCTCCAAATGTACCTGAGGCTAGGCCTATAGAAGAGTTTTGGGCTGCTTCGAGTCGAATGGTGTATGATAATGGCTGGAAAGCGCAAAATAAAGATCGTCTAAGGCGAAGAATTTTGCAAAAATTTCATCTTAGAAACAGCCCAAAGGCTTATTGCACATGCAAGACCAAATTTACGTGCCATCGAAGATCACGGACCTCTTTCTATTCTATAAAATCACATTCCTGTATTTAGTTATTAAAATAAACTTAATTAACAATTAGAAAATACATTTTTTTTTTGAACACTTTGGGGACATGCGTTATACAAAGAAACTCGTCTGTCCTAATGGACATTTTTTATTGTTTTATGTACTTTAATTTATTTTAAAAATCATAATTCTAACTGTTAAGATGTAATACTAATGTTTGTCTTATTTTTGTAAACAATTCCACCTCTGTAAGTACACATTCATGTAATTTTATTCTTTCTGTAGAATTTCTAAAGTTGCTTAACTATTTGTTTCAATAAATTGTAGTATACTTCTTATAGAGCATATGAAAATGGGAATAGCAATTAATAATATGTACAATTTTTTTTAAGTACAAATTAATTCACTTTTACAAAAATAGCCCTTAAAATAGTGGCGAAATAACACAGAAAGGTATTCACATATACCGCGTTTCAACCTAAATATTTTCCTAACCTATTTTTATTTTTCTTAGAATATAACTTAAAATGCGCTAAATAAAAATTTTAAAAACGCTAAATTATTTAAACTGTTATAGCTTACTGATATTTATGTACTATTAAGAAGTAGCTGACAAGGATGAGTGATCTTATCCACTTCTACATACATTTTTAAAAATAGCTAAATCAATTATAGCAGTGCTTTGTGACTTTTCTTTAATGAAACAACTTTTATTTTAAAGGTACGTGAATTTCAAAATTAATAAACAATAATTATTATAGAACAAGTAATGAGAGAAAAAATACAAGGATCTTACCAGCAGCGTGAGCCACACTAAACAAGTAATACAAACAAATACACAACCACAAATTCATGCTGTACAACCTTTGACGAATTCAACCATAAACTACTTTCTTGTGGTTTGGCCGGCTGATTCTGACTGTTTGATATTTGCGATACTTATTAAGATTTAATCCCAGCTATTGCAAATGTAATATTACTGGTTGAAGTCGCTTAATAAAATAAGCGCTAGTTTCCCCGCCATGTTGAACAACTCGTCAGAAGGTCGAGCAGCATAAAAATCGGAAAGAGTGCATAGGAAAATATAAATGTGTACTGAGAATTCACTAATAAACACGCGATGATGACGCATCCTTCTTCAATTTTTTTTATAAAAAAACGGATAAAGATTTTGTAGCTTTAGCAACTACAAAGAGTTGTATACTGGAACAACACAAGATATTATTGATGTAGAATTGAGCAGGCAAGAAGGCTTTAATAAAATTAAAGAAAGTATTAACAAGTTTTTATATAAAAGTTTCACTTTGGGTGTACTTACTTTGATACTGTATGTTTAGTAATCTCTTATGAAGTGTATTTCACTAATTTGCGACTGTTTTGTATATCGCTAGACACTCGACAACCAATAGTCTGTACTCTACTGTACAGCATAAGAAGTAAGAAAGTAAATTGCTCTAGTAATGAAAATAAATCATAATATAGTCTGTAGTCAACAAGTCAACACCCCAAGGTATGAGCAGGAACTCCTCTTCTCAACCCTTAACTACCATGGCCAAAAATAGTAACATTTGTACCATGGCAAGGTCAAATTTGACCCCCCATTGTTTTTTGTATCAAAAAATATTCTTTTTTTAACTTGTTTTATTTTAAATTATTTTGTTTACAGCTACTTTTACATTTATATAAAAATAAACGAATTTGGTTAATTAGATACATGTGCAGTTTTTTTATATCCAATGGTGAAATCTAGGTATCATAGCTCCTATCTAAAATAAAAAAAAATCGATTTAGATTTCGTATCTCAAAAATGACAAGCATGATTTTACCTTAATTTTCAACACAACTTATGCATAACGACTGTATGTGGGAATGATTTTTGCAAATAAAATTTCGACATTTATCGCACGATGAGCTTTCTTTCTTTTGGTTTTGGAATATGGACATATTTTACACCTTTCCCTCTTTTTTCGTCGTTGTGGCTCTGGATTTGCGGCAGGCATTGGTTCCTGAAGTTCGGAAACTTTAAAAATGGCACTACGAATTTCTCTCGGTAAACAAGTTTGCTGAGCTCGACGAGTTAAATGGGCCTTAATAAGTTCTTGACCTAAAGTGGTTAAAAACAATCTTCTTTCCATTATTTGATTTTGCTGAACTTCATTAAAAATTACGTTAGCATTTAATCCTGCAATGTCCAAAATGCGAAACCATATTACTTGAGGCCATCTACGAGTTCTTCTGCCAGTTTTATAGCATGCACATTTCTTATCCAATGAATCCACCCCACCTTTTGTCTCGTTGTAAAAATTTATAATCTCTGGCTTTCCATTAACCATTGTATTGGAATGATGCATAGTTGACACTAACAACACTGCACGATTTTTCTTAGGAACAAAAGATATAAGGCTCTCGCTTCTTGTAAAACCAAATAAGGCAGAATTAGGTGGCCTGTTTTTTTGGGGTTGAAATTCAGCAGGAACCTCTCTTTTATTTCTTTTTAGAGTTCCAACATATGAAATTTTATGGCTTCTCAGTTCTTTTATGAGCTCAATGGACGAAAACCAATGATCTGCTGTTGTGTTTCTATTTGTACCAGAAATTGGTGGAATAAGTGTCAAAACATCTAGAGTGGGTATGGATAACTTTTTTGGATTTGCTCTGCGTGTATCTTTTTCAGTATATATAAAACCATTTAGCAAATAAAGTGTCTTAGAGTCTACTAAACACTGCATTTTCAGACCGTATTTGTCTGGCTTATTTTTGAGATACATCCTGAATTGGCACCTTCCTCTAAATGCAATAACCATTTCATCTATTGTGAGATATTCACCACAGCTATAATTGGACTGGCAATTAATTATAAACATATTAAAAATATTGCATATAGATGCCAGTTTATCTGCGTGCACAATACGTTCTTGTCTAGTAGCTGGGTCGTCAAAACAAAAAAAAAATAAAATCGGTTTAGTGACATGGTTGCTCGAAATATATCACGGCCAGTACCATTCGTAGCAAATAAAGACCTTAAATCTTCATTATTGGATTTAAATACCCCAGCTAAATATAATAAGCCTAAGAAGGCCTTTAATTTAATTATGTCAAGATGATTGGTATATTGACACGATAAATTGTGTAAATTATATTTAGAAGCCATATTAGTTATTCGTTCATTGGTTTTCTCAAGAATTTCTTGCAATATATCATGGCTAATAATACATTCCCAAGCATCAACTGGTTTCTCTGGCATACTAGCTCGAGCTTTTCCAATAACACCAGGTAAATGACTAATTAAATTATGCTTACGTTTACGAGAAAAGGTGGGAGAAGTTTTAGACCACTTGTACCTATTTTTTCAAAACACATCCCTTGAGTCAGCTATATCACTTTCTTCACCCGAATATTCACTACCAGTTTCGGAATTATTAATTTGCCAATTTTTTTCGTCATCATCGTCTCATTCCCCTTCACTGTCTGTTTCGTGATCACTGTGTTCACTAGCCTGGTCTAAAAACTCACTGTTACTATCTACTCCATTGTCCATAATTTTTTGTCCCTCCTTCAAGTTCTTTCTGTGTCAGAGGACGTTTATTGCGACTACACCCCGCCATTCCAAATTACTCGTTAATTGCACTATAAACACTTATACCATAAGCGGGTCAAAATTGACCCTATGCGTGCCTAACTCTGCAGTAGTAACAGATAAACTAACGGAATTTTCGTAAATCGATAAATCACCTACCGATCGAAGATTAGCAGAAAGCGCGCAATGCTCAATCTATGTTTCGGTAGCGAAACTTGGCATTAAAAACGCGGGGGGTCAATTTTGACCCCGCCATGGTACTTAAGGGTTAAGGTGCCCTCTCCATTACTGAACTTTGACTATAACTACATCCAATTGCTCTCTATCTTGAACTGTTCTTAGTATTGAATGTGTGTCCATGCCTTTTCAGTCTCTTACATTCTTCACCCAGGAGCATTTTCTTCTTCCTGGACCATCTTCTTCCCTCCATTTTCCCTTCCGTTATAAGTCGTAGGAAGTTGTATTTTTCTCCTCTGTAAATATGTCCTAGATAACTCATTTTTCTGTTTTTTACAATACTTAGGAATTCTCTCTCAGTACCCATTCTTCTTAGCACCTCGTTGTTGGTCAAGAGCTTTGTCCAAGAGATTTTCAGCATCCTTTGAAAAACCCACATCTCAAAGGCTTTTATATGCCTCATACTTGTAACTCCGAGAGTCCATGTTTCCACTCCGTATAGCAATATGGAATAAATAAACGTTTTTACAAATTGGTATCGGATATCCAACGATAACGTTGAGTTTATTAGAAATTTTTTCATTCGTTGAAATGCGGACCTAGCATATTCTATACTAGCACATATTTCGACCTCGTGGTCAAGATCATTTGTTATCCAGCAACCAAGATACTGGAATCCTTGTACTGATTCTATATATTTGTTATAGATACGCATATTAATGTCGACATTTGGAGCACGTGTAACAACCATTACTTTTGTTTTATTTGTGTTTATTTAGTCCCAAGCTATCACCCTCTCTGGTCATGACATTCAAAAGTCGTAAACCCTCAGCACTGTCCGCAATAATGACGGTGTCGTCTGCGTATCTTAAGTTGTTTACGTATTCTCCGTTGATTTTTATTCCTTCTTCAATATTTTCGAGGGCATTTTGAAAGATCTTTTTTGAATATATATTAAATAACAGTGGCGAAATTACGCAGCCCTGACAAACTCCTCTTTGTATTGGCAATTCTGCTATCAGACGATTGTCTATTTTGATCTACGCCATTTGATTCCAATATAGTTTCTTGGGAGGAACATAAAGTGTATTAATACTCATACGCTTATGAAACGCGCCTAGCGCATCATAAGGGCCTTTACATTTTACTCTTTTTCAACTTGTCTTGAGTGAAATGCCTTTTATCTTTCCCATCAGCCTCTTTTGGCTAACTCTTGTTTATTCAGACCCCGAATGGCTATTAGGTTTCCGAGGGCAGACTGGTCACTATATTTCTTTCTACTACAGACTCATTCCCCGAGTTATTGCCGGTATAAGCAATCCTTAACTACCGGACTAACGGCTTCGGGAAGATAAGTTAGTAAGTAGTAGGGCACTTTTTTGTCCTAGGGTTGAGACATTGTCAAAGGTGGATAAACCTATATGTGGTCAACGGCATAAGGATGGACAAGGTAACGGGAAACTCATACATTAAAGATCGTCAGATTTCCCTAGAACGTTAACCATGCAAATGACGGTCAATCACATGGCCCTAGTCCGCGGCGGACCTTTAATGTTCAAGGGGTGCTAAGAATCCCCGCGAGAAGAAGCCGTTAGAATTTGGCAAATAATACATAGAGAACAAATTCTTTTTAAATTTCGGGACATGAAATGTGAGAGACTTTTTCGAACAAAGAAAGACGCACAAGACGATTAAGGAAATGAATAGACTGTACCTAGAAATATTGGGCATAAGCGAAATGCGCTGGCCTGGTTCCGGAAAAACATTAGTCATGGATAAAACGATATATTACTCCAGAAATGACACCTGAGATCATCTATATTGAGTTGGGATAATTATCTCTACGAGAATCCAAGGAGAAGTTGTAATTTTTGTTCCTTTTTGGGATAGAACACTGTTATTACAAGTACAGGGTAAGCCAGTGAACAAAACCCGAATAAATACACAGAAAAAAACATAAATAAATAAGGAAGAAAATAAAAGAGGCTAAAAAAAATTGATGTTTATTCGACTGGTGATATCCCTGAAGATTGGTTAAAGTCCGAATTCATAACACTACCAAAAAAACAACGTCCGAAAAACTGTGGCGATTATAGAATGATAAGCCTTATGAGCCACACTTTGAAAATATTTCTACGCATCATCCACAGTAGAATCAGAGATAAATGTGAAGAAGATCAGGATTTGGCTTCAGAAATGGACTAGGAACTCGGGACGCCCTCTTTGCACTAAATGTATTACTGCAGAAATGTCGAGATCAAAGGAAAGACGTCTTTGCTGTATTTATTGACTATGAAAAGGCCTTTGATCGAGTACAGCATCACAAATTG